ATTATGAAAGAGTAAATAAAATTTTGAGATGCTTGCCTTCTTCTTTTGATGCTAAGGTCACTATAATTATTGAATCTAAATATTTAAATTCTTATTCTATTGATAATTTGCTTGGATCACTCATTGCTTATGAGCAAGGGGTGAATCAAAGAAATCTTAATGCAGGTGAGAAAAAGAAGGAGAAAACTGTGGCGCTAAAGGCCAACAATACGGACACTAATTCTTCCGAGTTTGAAAGTGATGATGTTGCCTTAATCACGAGGCAATTAAAAATCTTTCTAAGGAAGAAGCACAAGAACCATCAGAAGTGGAATAAAGGTAAGGGCAGCAAAAATTTTAAGAATTCTAATGATATGATCTACTTTGAATCCTTGAAGCTGTGACACATTAAAGCTGATTGTCCTACACTTAAAGCTAACTGAACCAAGGAGAAGGGTGTGGAGAAACCCAAGTTTAAAAAGGACAAGAAGTGGTTCCAAAAGGCATTCTAGGCTGATTCAATATTGGACTCCTCTGAGACTAAAGTTGAAGAGGAGACTACAAATTTATACTTGACTCCTTGGGACGACGCCGGTATTTTATAATCCCGAATGATATTTGATCATCCTGGACGACTTTATCGCTTTTATGACCAATCCTCCTGGACACAATTATTACACCCGATCGGTTTGGACAATTCTGCAATCATCCGGTACGATCGGGATGATTCTTTAAAATTTAAGGATTCTAAATGTCTTTTCTCACACACTCTTCTTCCATCAATCCTTCCCTTCCTATTTCCTTCTGGTTTCTTGATAATGTTCGATGGAAAGAGATCTTGACATCCTTTTGGGAGTTCCTCAAGGGTGAATCTGGACCCTCGCTTCACTGAGGTGGATGATCAAGCTGCCTATCAAAGGTATAAAATAGTCAGGATTACTATATCTCAGACTGTCAACCCGCACATTCTTTTATATCCTGTCCTAGATTTATTTGAGCACACTTCCTTGACCTTCCTTCTTACTCTCTATGTCCCTTTTAATTGAAAACTTCTTTTTAAAATTTTTGCTAACTTCCACATACATTCTTCTTTCACGGCTCTTGGGTCCTATGTGAATCGACGTCCTGTCGAAATCACATATCAGGACTGTCAAGAGCTTTTGTAACTTAACACCACGGAGGACAAACTCCATACCCTATGTTCTTATCCTGACTACGACTGGGCTCTAGCCAACCACTTTCTCAGAAACACTAATGCTCACTTTCACGTTGGAGACTCTACCACCTTACTCAAAGATTCTAGGACAATCCAGCATATCCTTGATACCTCAATTCTTCCAAAAGCTGGTGATCGCATTCATATCACTCCACTTCTTTCCATCACCACTTTTTACATATTGGCTAGTCATGAATTCAATGCCACTGATTTTATTTTTTGCTATATTGAGTTTCTGACTACTATTCAAGATCTAGGACATAAGAGGAAGCCCAATCTTGCCCTAGGACATATCATTGCATATGTCTTAGAATCAAAATATAACCTCAAATATCCCGCTCCACCAAATTTTTAGCATGCCTTCTACTCAAATAACTCCTTCGACAATCTTCACTGTACTCATCTCCACCCAGGGCATGAGGAAGCTGAGGGAGCTGAGGATGAGGCAGCTCCTGCACCAGTTCCTACACCTAATTTGCTCCGCCAGCACTCTCAGCTAGATCAGCTAGTGGAGCGATTTGACTAGTGGGAGACTTGTTTTGAGACATATGTCGCTGCATAGGATAAGCAACATGTGGAAAACATTACTCTCTTTGACTCTTATATAGCTCACCAGCAGCACCAGCATGACCAAGTTATGGCCTGGCTTGGGGAGCAATTTGCGACTCTTTCCAGTTACATTCAGCCACATCCACCACCACCACCTCCTCTTTTGGATGATTAGAGACTGTCTTTCTTTTAGTTTGCTTGTTTTTGTTTGATGTTATTTTACTTATGTTGAGTAGTTTGTATTATTTTTCTTTTTCCCTCCTCCTTTTTATGATGTCAAAAGGGGGAGTTGTTGTACTAGTTTGTACTATTCTAGTATTTTCTAATTTGTTATGTTTTTATGTTAGATAGTTAATCTATTTGAACTGTGTTTGTTTCTTTACCTGTTTCCATTAAAACTGCTTTAATTTTTTTTGTATTTGCCATTATCAAAAAGGGGGAGATTGTTGCGAATCTATTTTTCAGAGATTATAATTTTGATGAGAACAAACACTTCTATTTCTTTACGATTGCCTTGCCTACTAACATTTCAGGTCCATAAAATCAAGCTGTAATTTCAATCAGCTCAAGATTAGGTAGACTAGGTCTGAGTCAGTTTGTAAACTTTTCCCTTTCTTGAGTATATTATAAATAATGTGGTCCTTGTTGCTAAGTAACCTTGCACACACACACACATGGGGGGAAATTTCTATCTTATTTTATAGTTCTCTATTTTTGGTCACATTGTCCGGGACAATCCATAAATCGGCCTAAATGATCAATTAAAAATAGAAACCTTAATTAGGGCATCCTGGTTAAGGCAACCATCATTAAGCGCATCATCCTAGATGATATTAATATTGGCCAGGATGATAGGCTCAAAGTAGAAAGAATCAACCGCAAGATCTATTTGGGCATTAATTATTTTTGGACATCATCCAGGACATCATCCTGGATGATGAAACACAATTATACCTAAATTAATCTTATTATTAAGGAAAGTAAACAAGGTTTGATTCTTGATCAAATCATCCGAGACAATCTAAGGATCAGACAAGATGATCAATTCAAAAAACCTTAGTTGTTCCCAGATGATCAGCTAATCATCCAGGAAGATCGTGATATCAGCCTGGACGATCAAGCTATTTTTCCATCGTCCAGACATTCATTCATTACGATTATCTGGATGATATTTAATGACTTGTACTAATCGTACAGGATTATATCTTATCATCCGGGATGATATGAACAAAAACCTTCTAATCATCCCAAACTGTCCAAGCTGATTGAGAGAAATTTACGTTGATTGGCCAAAATGATATTTATATTATCCTTGATGATAAAGTCGGTTTATTTAAATTAAGATCTATTATGAAACTCTTCTATTTAAGACCACTTATTCTACCCAATAGATCATCTTTTGCTATTGTCTTAACTTGAGAGAGCCTAGAGGAGAGGAAGAGAAAGGGAGAGAGAGAGAGGATCTTATAAAGGGGAGTTTGGAAGGGGTTTCATAAAGGTTTCACTAAGCAAGGATCCAAGTCATTTTATCTGATCTTCATCACTTAATCTTGGAGGTTCTAGAATGTTGCGACAATTCAAGGATCATAGTTTGGGGACAATGATTGGAGGGCTACAATTACAAAATAGTGGTCAGGGATGGCAGTCGAGTGATTATGGTTAGAGGAGTATAATCATGCCATGGTGGTTAATTGGAAGACTAAAGTCGAGTGATGGTGATTGGATGACCAAAATTGAGTGTTGGTGATCGAAGGACTATAGCCATCTTACGGTGGCTAGAGAAATATACTTGGGTGATAGTGACAAGAAAATCATAGTCAGCTAATAGTGCTTAGAGGTATGTTTTTAGATGATGTGGTCAGAGGATCAAAGTTATGTGAAAGTGATCAAAAAACCAAATGAGGCCAATGATCATCGGAGAACTGTAGTTAGGTGATGGTGCTCAGAGAAATATAGTTGGACATTGAAGATTGAAGAACCTACTTTGACAATAATTTTTGGAGGACTATAGTTGTTTGATGGTGGTTAGAAGACCAAGTTAGACGAAGGTAGTTAAAATATCATAATCATGCAACAAGAATTGGAGTATCATAAACAAATGGGGATGGTTGGGAAACTACAGTTGAGTGGTGGTGGTTAGAAAATTGTAGCCAAACGATGGTTGTTTGGAATTGCAGGCCGATGACAATGACCATAGTATCATTATTGGGCAATGATGGTCAAAATGTCGTAGTTGGGCAACAATGGTCGAAGAATGCAGTTGAGCTATGGTGGTCAGGCATTATATTTAGGGCGATAGTAGTCGAAGGACCATAATTAGTTAATATCAAAACTCTATATTGGCTATCAAACTAATACATGATTGCAACATCCACTATGATTCTTAACATTAGCATCAAGATTTATGTTATATTTCTTAATCTTTGATCTTTCCTCCTCAAAAGAGTACTATCAAATATACAACAAGTGATCCCTTGAAGATAACTCCAATGTCATAGGGGGCTTTGCCAATATTCGTCACATAATTCATTCTATATAGCTTATTCCTACTATATTCTGAACAAATTGCACAATCATAGGAAATAACATCATTTATAACTTATGAGAAGTACTAACAAAATCATTTCAACTAGGCCAAATCCTTTGATTTTTCTCTCTTCTAAATTTTTTTTACGTAAAAACTCTAATGTCTCTTATAACTCTTTTCTTATTAATATACATGTTGAATATTCATATAAGTCAAAGATGTTAAACTCTCTCTATGACCGCAAATACTCTAACTCCTAACAAAAATATATAATTTCTATTTTTTATGATCATTTTAATCCTAAAATATAATTAATGAAAGAAATAATAATAAAGAATAATGCTACCCCATCAACTCATTTCCTGCATATAGTTACAAGTTATAATCAAAACAAGATAATAATAAACAATACTATGCTATCAACTCATTGACTTTAAAAAAAAAAAAAGATCATTGAGAATAAATGCCATATACAGGATTATATTTTCTCTCCCCCTCTTTTCCACTCTCTCACGCTTAATGACAACAAATCAAATATTTTAAAAGTACCATAACATTTTTCTGTAAAAAAATAGGTGTGATCATAAATACAAAGAATCATATAGTTATCTTTCATATAAAAAAATGATTAATCTATTAACCATCCTTTCCCAACCCAAATAAATAAAAAAAAAACTTATACAAAATCAAATAAATGAGCTCCAATTTACAGAGAAATTATTTTGTGCGGTCACCGGATCGTCCGGAGGCGAATCAGAATATGCCACGTTACAGCACCGTTACACAACAAAAAAATGATGTGGCGCATCCTGATTTGCCTCTGGACAGCGTCCGTTGACCGCACAAAATAATTAATCCAGTTTACACTTAAAGATTACCACTAGCTCTTATCTCCCTGTCAAAATGGTGATGGAAGTGTTGTTTGAGCTGGATCCTATATCAGATGAATGTGATTTGGTATCACTAAAGTTAGTTTCAAATGAAAATTTTGGTCTCTTAGGGATTGGTTGAGCAATAATCCCACTCTCCAGCATCATAACAACTGAAGCCATTGTTGGCCTATCACTGGCTTTATCTTGCACACACAATAGTCCCACATTGATGCATCTTGAGACCTCATCAAGTGAGCATGAATCCCTTACTGTTGGATCCACTAAATCCATCAAATTTTCTTCAGTCCATAGCCTCCAAGTCTGTGCCAAACACAAAGTTTGGATATAATTATTAGAACTGCAAACCATATTATATGTCATTATTCTTTTACTTACAAAAGCAAGGAGATAAAGGTCCACTTCAGAGTGATATGTGTTACTTCTTTTCCCACTAACAATTTCAAGGAGCAGCACCCCAAAGCTATAGACATCAGATTTCACAGAGAATAGTCCTTGCATTGCATACTCTGGTGCCATGTAACCACTGCAATTCCATGGAAAAGATTCAGCATTGATTTCGATGTATTAGCTCTAATCTTGTATCGTTTAAAAACAAGAATTACTATGTCCCAACCACCCTTTTAGTGGTTGTTTCATTGCTGTCATTTCTAAAGATTCTTGCAAGACCGAAGTCCGAAATCTTTGGGTTCATCTCTGCATCTAGCAAGATGTTACTAGCTTTCAAATCGCGGTGAATGATTCGTAATCTCGAGTCTCGGTGAAGGTATAGGAGTCCTCGAGCAATTCCTTCGATGATCCGGTATCGCGACTTCCAATCTAGCAGTCCTTTCTTGTTAGGGCCTATGGAAATTTATTTGTGAGATCATTTTGCTTACAAATATAAGGTAGTGTTTGGGAAGAATGGTAGCTAGTAAGACATGCTTACCAAAAAGAAAAGCATCCAAGCTTTTGTTTGGCATGTATTCATAGACTAGCAACTGATTTTCCTTGTCAGTACAGAATCCTAGAAGTCTGACAAGATTTCTGTGTTGTAATTTTGCAATGAGGGTAACCTCATTCTTGAATTCCTCTGATCCTTGCCCTGAACCCCTAGAAAGTCTTTTTACAGCAATTTCTTGGCCCTCTGGAAGTTTTCCCTATAAAACCAGCAAAAGGCATTCCCTTACCAGTGTTCTATTAGGAAATGCATAAGCTATCAAGAAAGAACATGTAAGATGAGCACTGGTATGAACTTTTCTATACTGTTAAGGGTATAGTAATAAAAAAATTGGATCATAAATGCAGTGATGATTATTACATTCTAAGCTACAATCGGAAAACTGGTTGAGGTTAGCATAATTTGATCCCCATTGAAGACTATTTTTCTTCTGGCCATTCCTTCCCAGCTTCCATGAATTCAACTGAGTGTAAATACGGCTACAAAGATTTTTCAGAGATGTATAGGAAGAGGGAAACTTCAGAGGAAATATTATGGCATAATGTATTCGAGATAACTAAAATAATTTCTATTTTTCAGTGAACACCCTATACTTTTATTTAAAATATCATTTCCAATAATAATGACTTTGAGCAATATAGTGGAAAATGTAAAACGACTAAAATTAAGAATGTGAAAAATTGTCTTAAGGGATCTCCTAATGATTTTTTTTTCCTTAACATAACAAGCAAAGTTAGAAGCAAATGAAAACTTTCACATATATTTAATAGAATTGTTGCATGATGGAACATTTATGATAGTAGAAAAATATAAAGTTTAAAGTTTTAGGCTCCTAGCGTTGTAAGATAGATCCAACATGCACATAAATAAGGGACTAGTGCAGGAATTGTAAGACACAAGAATTTTTATGCAGAAAACTTGAGAAAAGGAAAAATCACAGGACTTGACCAACTTAAAATGATTCAATTATTATTTATAATCGATTGCAAATGATACTCTTCCTCAAGGGAGGGCATGGATGCACTATAAAGAACCTATTATTTGGATGGTAAGCAACGAAGGTCGAAGGGATTACTGTTGGGTGACAGTGGTCATAAGATAGTAGTCAAGCAATAGTGATCTAAAGATCATAATTAGGAAACCAGGATCTAAGGACTGTTTTTGTATGATGGGAGTCAGAGGACTATAGTCGATAGGAAACAGAGGCCGAAGGATAATCATTGAGCGATGGGTGTCTAACGACCGTAGTGAGCAGGTGACAAAGGTCAAAATAATTGTAGACAACGGGCGACGGAGGTTGAAAGAGTCATATTCAGCGGGAGATAGTGGTCAGAGGATAGTATTTAAGTGATGGTGGTTGAAGGATTATAGTCACAGAACGATGACGATCAAAGGACCGCGATTAGGTGATAGCGGCTGAAAGATTGTTGTAGAGCAACAAAAGTCGAAAGATTATAGTCGAGAAAAGAGGTTAAAGGGCTGTGGTTGAGTGCCAGAGGTCGGAGGATCGTAGTCAAGAAAAGATGGTCGTTGTTAATAGGCAATGAAGGTCAGAGAATTATAGTCGGTAGATGACGGAAATGATCGTAGTCAAGCTATGGTGGACCAATGAACGTGGTTGGGCGATGATGATTGAAGGATCATAGTTAGCGTGCAATAGTAGTTGAAGAACCAAAGTGGGGTGATGGCGCTTCGTCGATGGACTATATTGAGTGATTGAGGTCAGATGATCGTAGTTACGCGACGGAGGTCGAATGACCAGAGTCAGCATGTTGGTGATGGAATTCAAAAACACCGCGATGAAACAAACAAAAAAATAAAAAATAGAGGAAAATAAAAGGACACAATGATTTAGTGTGGAAAAATCCAAAATAGGGAAAAACCCACAGAATCAAACCACACCAAGAAATTCACTATGAAAATGGGGAGAAATAAGAACATATATCTCTTCTCTCTCACTCTCTCATTGCTTCTCTTTTCCCTTACACCATTCTCACAGTTCTCTTGTTCTAACTACTACAATACAATAGAAAGTCAAGTTACTAACTCCAAGAGAAGCAACCCTTGAGAAAAACAACGAAGAAACTGTCTAGTCCGCCTCGAAACATTGTGACGCCAGCTTTGAGCGCTTCGGTGCTCAAGTCTCTGTTATACAATGTTGTGACGCTCAAACTAACAGCGCTACGGCGCCGAATCTAGAGCACTGCGACGCTCTACTCTATGGATCAGCATTGAGGCGCTTGAAAGCACAGCTCCGGGACACTCGGGTACACAACGCCTGGGCATTGTACAAACAAAAAAATTGGGTGCGAAGCACCCAAACCCAAGCAGGGTATAAACCCCCCGACGAGCATGAGAAAATGACTTGAGGTCCGAGGCAACAGTGCAATCCGATTGATCAACACAATCATATTTCATACATAACTAACATAGCATATGATGATATTAGAAAGACCGTAGTCGAGCAACGATGACCCAAAATTGTAGTGGGGTGATTGGCTAGAGGATTGTTGTAGAATGACGGAGGTTGGAGGACCATAGTCGGAGGACAGTGGTGTTGAAGGAACATAGTTTAGTGACGGTGGTCGAAGAATCATAGTGGGGTGATGGTTGTCGAATGACTTAGTAAGAAAACAATGGTTGGAAGACCATTTTTGGGCGATGGTGGTTGAAGTATCGTTGTCAGGCGATGAAGATCGGAAGGCCATTGATAGGTGATAGAGGTAAGAGGATCATAGACCACAGGTGATGGTGGTCAAAGGACCGTAGTCGGCGGGTGGCGATGATCAGATGGATGTAGTGGGGCGATAGTTATCGGAGGGCCGTAGTGGGGCGATGATGGTTAAAGGACTGTTGTTGGGAAATGGAGGTTAGAGAACCATAGTGGAGCGATTGTGGTTAGAGGATAGTAGAGGAGTGTAAGTAGTTAGAAAATCGTTGTGGGAGATGGTGATCGGAGAACCCTTTTGGACAAAAAAGATCAGAGTATTGTATTCTATCAAAGATAATGAAAGGATTGAAATTGACAATGGTCATAGTTGGTGAGTGACAAGGGTTAGAGGATTGTAGTATAGTGGTGGAGGAGGATGGAAGGGTTGTAGTCGAGCAAGAGAGGTCTCAAGACCATAGTAGGGCAACAAAGGTCGGAAGATCGTAGTCAGGCAACAAAGGTTGACGGTGATGGTCGGGTGGTGGCCAGACAGTGGTGCTTTGGGATCCTTAAAGCTTCAAAACTCTCTCGACTCTCAAGCCAAAGTTCATGCTCTAACTCCAAGCTCCCCACCGTGATGTAGAGAGTATGAGATTATTTATAAATTCTTGAGTATGACATGCCCTTAAATATGAAGAAAATATAAAACACTCTATTGGATGGCCCATATTGATTCCCTTAATTAAAAGAACTCATTCAACATTTAAGTGCCTTAATGATGTTAGAATTAAGCGATCTTATGCACATTGGATTCATCTCATCGAGTCACTCAATTTGACTATAAACAAGATAAATTTAAAGATCATTTAGTCATTCAATTAATGTCCTGAAGTTTATAATTATGCCTTAAGCCCTTTGATTTAGGCTCATACAGCTCGGATTTAACCATTTTTAGTGTCGTTGTAAATGTCTCGTCGAGATGTTTAGTTTGACTACAAGTTTACTAAAATCGAAGTTCGAATGGCCTTGAATTTAATTTTTGAAGTTTCCAATTCAAATATGCCTAGAGATTCATGCCCAAACAAGGCAATTTTAGATTATGTATGAAGAATCAATGTATTTAGAAAATCTAAATGTTTCCTTTTATTTAAGAGCATCATTTATGGTAATTACAACTTTGAGCAATATAGTGAAATTCATGTGATAATAAATAAAGGAAGATTAATTCTCATACATGTAATGTATCTTGTGGAATCAATTTTAATTTATGTTGAATTTAGATTTGTCCGTGGGCAATACTTGAACACTACTTGCAAGACTCGCAATATTCAGGTAAAGAAAATATAGAAAAAAGAAAAAGAAAATTAAAGAATTGAAAAAAAGAAGAAGAGAGACATATTAGAGAAGTGCTGAGGATTTTAAATTTAGCACAAAACACTCAGATTATTATATGGATGTCCCAAAATGGCACTTTGACTCTATATTTATAGAATTTCAAGGGCTACATAAGAATCTACATCTAAGCCTCATATAGAATAAAATTCAAAATATATGATACAAACATGTGAACAAAGTGGTCAGAATTCTAATGAGGGCACATGGACATTTATTTTGATAACTTGAGGGAGGTAAAATCACATAAAGAAACAAATAAGAAAAAAAAAACAACAGAAAAAAAAAACATGATTTAACGTGAAAAATTTTGAAACCGGGAAAGACCACGAAGTCACACCACACCAAGAAATTCACTATGAAAATATAAGAAATTGTATATATCACTCTTCTCATACTCTATCCATGCCTCTCTTCACTTCTCACATGCAGTTCTCAACTCAAAACATTTAAGAGACACTTAAAATATCCAAAGGGCGTAAATCTTCAAGTGAAATAATAAAAAGAGGGAAGAAAAATTGCCCAATTTGATTCGCAATGCTACTATGCTTGGGTTGTAACATCACAGCGCTCCACTCTCTGCCTCCAATTCGAGCTTGAAGCACTGCGATGCTCCAACATGCAGTGTTGCAATTCAAGCATAAAAAGGTGAGAAAAACAAATAGAAAGAAAAAAAAGGAGAAAAAGAGAATGAGATTGATATCTAGAGATATAAGCTCTAAGGATTGCCCTGAGCAAGTGACTGGGAGAGAGAGTTAGCCGAGTTGATGAAGCTGACGGCTCCGGATAAGCATAGGGTGGTTTCTCTAGTTAACCGGGTGGGTGGCCGTCTAAAGATAAGATGAGCGACCCTAAGAGCAAGTGAATACCTCGAGAAGAGGCAAGTGACCCCCTCAGGGTGAGATGAGTGGCTCCTAGCATGTGTGTTTCGATCCCTGACAATTTACTTAATCTCCTTTACTCGTCTAGGTCTGCATATTGGGCTATACAATTTCTCTTTTATTTTTCGTTTTTAATATAAAAAGCATAGTTAAAAGTAAATACAAGCTTTCATGGCACTATTTATGGCATCAATGTAAAAAAAATGTCTCTAAGCAATCCTAAAAATGAAATATATTGTTTTGTAATGCAAATAGCTTTTGTAGCAATATAGAACAATGCATCAAAATAAAATTTGATCCTACTCTTACAATCTAGGGGAATTTTAATACACTCTATAGAGTTGTTCATATCAATGAGCAAATATTATTTTCAAGCTTCTTGATTTATGATGCTAGTTAATTTACAGTTAATTATAAGATAACAGGAACTTTAATTTAATCTTTTAATTATATATAATCATCTAGCCTAGCTTCAAGATGTAAGGAGACTATTTTGCAGCATGATACTGGCTCTACCTTAAAGACAGAGCCAAATCCTCCTTTTCCAAGAAAATTAGATTGAGAAAAACTTCCTGTTGCCTCCACAATAGTGCTGAAACTAAATAAAGGCAATTCATAGGATTTTCTATCGTTTGCTTGATCCTGCATCTCAATCGCATCTGAAAATTCTTTCGATTCTTCTTTCTTCCTTGCTCTCCCATGGAACTCTAGTAAAATAAAAATAATATCATAGCCTACGCATCTGTCATGGATAAGTACTTTCAGAGAAAATAGGCTCCCAAGTAACACTACCTTCTCTTTTCCCCTTCCAATTGCAGAACAAGGAGAAAATAGACTCACAAGTAACACTTCCTTCTCTTCTTCCCTTCCACTTACAGAACAAGAAGCTGTTGCCTCCAAGAAAAAACACCCCAGCTGAAACTATGATCACAATAATATATACTGCCAATGTCTTTTTCTTGTTACCTGAAAATAAAAACACAAAAGCTGGTGTCTTTTCATATCCATCTTCAAGATCAAACACTTGATGCGCAGAAAACAAAAATGGCAGAAGCTACCTTCATTGAATTCGCTCGCCGCAACACGCAGATACAAATCATTGCCGCCAGTAGAGAAAACATTGATGTCGACAAGATCAACAGCCCAAATCATGCACCCAATTGAATCCAAGAAAAAGTAAGCCCTGCAAGAGCAATTCCTAGAACAAACCTCTGCACACGAAACCAAATTCACAACCTCTCTTTGAGTAACCTTATCCCCCAAATCCGGCAGCTTTACTCCTTCTATCAGATAAAACTTATCAGTCTGGCTACCGCCGGCAGCTGATACATTGCTGTCGCACTGCAACTGTACTTTCCTAACACACCCACCCGTCCAATGCCCCCTCTCCCATTCTGTCTTCGATCTAGGCACGAACCCCTTGAGGCAGCTGCAGATCGGAGTCGAGCCATCAGAGCAGCTCCCAAAGTTACCACACATGTTATACTTTTCACATTCAGTGACCGGAGCTTCCCATAAATTAAGCCAGGTTTTGTTGCTTTCAGAAAACACTAAGTGCTTTACTGTACCGTACGGCGTCAGAACCCAACGGTGCGAGCTATTGTGGCCGGTGTAGTAATACACCGTGTTTCCCTGGATGAAATTGCTAAGTGTGAATCCGTACGCGGCCGGAAACATCATACCGGGAATTCCAACAAAAACCTGGCCGTTCCACGGTCCGGAGCGCCACCGCGGTAGGCCGGCTTCCCATATAAAAAGCTGGGACGACGGGTCGACGCCAAGAGAGAAGTTTCCCGGTGCCGGATCACCGGCGGTATTCCACGATGTGATCACCTGATTCGAGTCGGGGTCGAGGCGGAACCCAACCTTCATGCCGGGCAGGTAGGTGTTTGTGGGATGGGAAAAGCTTTCCCATGCCGTATCGCCGGAGCTGTTGAGCATTAGGTCGCCGTAGTCCGTCAGCTCCGCCGTGGAGTCGTTTGACGGTAGGCTGACGTTGGTTGACCAAAAGACTCTGTTTTGGCCATCCACGATTACGAGGTTGCCGTCACCAGAGACGGAGAGTACGGTGGTAGAGTGGGGAATGGGGGAATTTCGGTTGGCGACCCAAACGACGTTGTCAGGGAAGAAGTCGCCCTGCCAGATGCCGACAAAGCGGTTACCGGAGCCGTCTAGGCTGAAGAAGCCAAGGTGGAAACTGCCGCCGGAGGAGGATAAAGTGTGGCCATCTGTGAGAGACTGGCCCAACTCGAGAAAGCTGGCTGCTTGGGTAAGAGGGATGAGAAGGGAAGAAATGAGAGCCCACCAGCTGAGGTCGTTAAGGCCGCCCATAAAACCTCAACAGATGAGCTCAGCACAGAAATCGACACCTGAGAATTTTTATACCTTGCGCGTAGCTGCAAATGAATTTAAAATGACTTCATGATCTTGAAGGAAGGAAAGAGATCGATGAGAGAAATTTAACATTAGAGATGGGAGGTAACTGTAGAGGGATATAGAAAGGTGGCTAAAAGAGCAAAAGACGGCTGTTCTATGATCGGTTGACCTCCATTTACTTCGAAATATCGTTTTTTTTTGGGAAATATTCGAAATATCGTAGTAAAGGGAGATTTCTTTTTAATAAAAAAATTGTATACAAATATTTTAATATAAAATATCTTAAGATAAACTAAATAATTTTTAAATTTATATTAAGATCAATATAAATTTTTTACTTTATTAATAGAGAATATTTGAGCGAGGATATTGCTATATTTAAATTTGATTATGATGAATTTAAAATTTAAAAATTTTATTTTAAAACAATTAATACTATAATATTTAATTATTATTTTTTATTTTATTAATCAATAATAAATTTTAAATTATTACAATTTGATCAATATTTTATTTTATCCAGATTTTTTTTTTTTTTTTTGAAATTATTTTACAAAAGTAGAATAGGTTTTGTGAGATTAGTGAGGCAGGTATTTTTTGAGACATTTTATAGATTGAATTACAAATGCACTTACATATATTGTATAAATAAGATCAAATTAAAGCTCTCAACCACGAGCAATTATTAGGTGCGGAGTGCGGACGGGAGAACCGTCCGCACAAGCACTGGGTATCAAACGGTACCCAGCGGTATCAAGTGCGGGTACCAAGCTGAGTACCAACCAATGAGGTGACGTAGCACATTTTTAATAGTCTCTGGATGCACTCTGCACTCCACACCTAATAATTTCTCTTCAACCACAAGGCTAAAGTGTTCCCTTTTAGTAAGCCACATTGGTCATGTTTCTCATTTTGCTAATAGCATGGACGGAACTAATTTTATTTTTTAGGATGGACAAAATTGATTGCAGACAATCAAAGACGTGCAGATGTTTGAGGCTTTTCGTAGTTCAAGCAGTAGTTCAACAAGCATGAACAAGTTAAAAGAAATTGTGCATACAAAAAACAATGAGTGATCGGTTTGCATGAATTGGATCAAAATTGAATGCGAGCAAAACTCTTCAAGATTGGGCAAAAAAATTTGTTATGGGGCATAAATTTTCAAAATTGCCCTTCCTTATAAGTTAAACTAAATTTTGAAAGTGGGCAATTCAACTCAATGTGATTCCACCCGTGGCTAATAGTGACAGCTTAAGCAAAAGTATTACATTTTAAAGACTATAAAATTTGGTTGAGTTTTGAGTGTTTTTTCCATGCTTTCAATAAAATTTTGTATTAATAAATAGCTTTGTATAGCAATAAGAAAGCCGTTTCAAATAAAACCTTAAACTACGTTTGGGATGGCTTTCATATTGCTTCACAAAGCAGTTTTATAGTACAAAAATTAAAATTTTTGTACTAGAAAGCTGCTTTAAGAAGCAATAAGAAAGTTGTCTCAAATGAAGCCTTAGTCGCCAATGGGCCATGACGGGGAGACTAATGGTTCCATTTTTGTTTTCTTTTTTAAATAAATACATGATTGTGACGTTGGAGAGCTGGCTACTCAATATTGCGTTGATCTTGAAATAATTATAAATATTTAAAATAATAATAATAAATTATTTAACTGATAAAAATTCATAGCAATCAAATAGTTAAAAAAAAAAAAAAATACAACCTTAAATTCAATCATCTGTTTATACGAAATGAACCATAACGCAATAAGAGAAAACATGTTTGCGCCAATGGCCTTCTTTAACAGAAACCCGGATCTATTCCTAGAATTTTCTTGAATATTTATTGATATATCCTTAAAAATTTAGTTTAATCGGGCACAAATTTCGAGGCAATATCAAGTTGGAAACTTCCAAAATTAGAATCGGGACCTTCCGAACTCCAACTATAGCTCAGAAATACGAACCCAACAACACCAAATTCGACTCAATCCGGGTCCAAATGGGTCCAAATCAACGGTCCAAAGCGCTATTGGAGGGTTCAAACCACAATTTGGTTTACCAAATGATTTTCAAACATGACGTGCTTATAGTCAAATTGAGTGGCTTGACGAGACAAATCCAACAAACCCAAGATCACTATATTCCGACATCACTAAGACATTCAAATGTCAAAAAAATGGTCCATGATCAAGGGATTCAACATCGGCCGTCCATCCAAGCCACTCCCTGTACGCCCTTGATATCCCACATATTTACGAGCTATGTCACTCTAAAAAATCTATAAATAGACCCCCTCCTCCCTTTTGAAGGAAGATTCTCCAAGCAAGAGAGCAAGAGAGAGATCGGAGATCGCTCTTGCCTCATCACTCCTCCTCAATCACCCCCTAGAGTTCTGCCGGACCACCACTTAAGGTCCTGAGCTACTCCAGACCACCACTTGAGGCCCTCACCTTCGTCGGACCACCACTTGATGCCCTCACCTTCGCCGGACCACCACTTGAGGCACTCACCTCCATCGGACCATCACTTTAGTCTCTCGCCTCTGCTAGACCACCACTTGAGGCCCTCACCTTCGCTAAACCACTACTTGAGGCCCTGAGCTCCACTGGATCACCACCTGAGGCCCGGACTTCTGCCGGACCACCACCTGAAGCCCGGACTTCTGTCAGGCCACCACCTAAGACTCGAACTTCTACCAGACCACCACCTGACGCACAGACTTCTGTCGGTCCACCACTTGATGCTTAGAGTTCTATCGGAGTACCGCCCTACTACAACATTCTTTCTAACCTCGATCTCTAGCCAACTACGGTATTTTGGACACATGTCTCATGCCAACTATGATCCTTCTGACCTCTGTCGCCTATTACGGTCCTTTCGACCTACATCGCCAGACAACGGTTTTTCTGACATCGGTCTCCTGCATACTACGATCTTTCCGGCCTACATCACCTGACAATGGTCTTTCTGACCTTGGTCTTATGCCAACTAAGATCTTTCCGACCTCTATCCTATCAATTATGGTTTTGCCGACCAAACAAATATGTCTATGTTTATTATTGTAACTCTCACCATGTAATGCGCTCCATATGATGTATATTTGTGACATCAAGCCAAGGCCTTCTCCCTAAGAAGGGTCTCATTTGTAATCAACTGTAAATATTATTTGATTCATTCAAACTAAGCAAGACCCGTGGTTTTTTCCCTTTTTCAGGGGTTTTCATGTAAAAACTCTAGTGTCTCTTATGAACGCTACACCATCTCTCTTATCTGCTTGTGTGATGGATTTTTGTACAACGCTAAGATGTTAAACTTTATATTTCTCTATCGCTGCGAACAAGGGCGGATCTACAGTGGGGGCCCTGGGGGCACGGCCCCCACTGACCCAATAACAAAAAATCAGGTCATTTTAATTATATTAATATAATTATTAAGTTATAAGATTAAATTTGATTTTTAAAACAAATCAATTTCGGCTCCGGTAACGCCTCCGCCTCAGGGAATTCCGCCTCAGCCCAATTTTTCTTTTTTTGGCTGACTTGGCCGTATGCTTTTTAATTCTATTATCTCTGCCTTCCCTCTCTCTCTTCTTTATCTCTCCCCACTACGCCTCTCTCTCTCTCTCTCAACCGTTGGTTTTTTAGGAGGGAATTTATACATTTTTAATAATAAATCTAAGTAAATTAATTAGTTTAGTTATATTCACTTTAAAATTATAATTTTTTTACTAAATGTAAACCATTATATCTAATTAATATAATAAAAATAATTTATAATTAATAAACAATTAATTTAAAATTTGGTATATTATAATCTAATACTAATTTAATTAATCTAAATCCTAGTTCAAAATCAAGACTATTTTAATTAATCAAATAAAATAATCTCAAATTAAAATATTTATTTGAATCAATTTACATAATAACCTAAGAAAATATTAATTTTTTAATAAATATAAGATAGAGAGTGATATACTATCTTTTTAATGAAATGCATATGATTTTATGTATTTTTTAGACCTGTTCAATATTGGACACCGACCCGAAACCCCGCATCCGAACCCGATCACGAAACACGAACGGAATTTTCGGTCAGGGTTGACCCGAACCCGAAAGCGGATCAGTTCGGGTCCGAAAACGACCCGTTGCGAAACGGGTCGGTTCGGTTGACCCGACGGGTTGCCGGGTCCCCGAAAACACCGTTTATTTTAAAAAATTCAAATTTCCTGCCCCGCTATGCCCCAGCGCTGCCCAGCGTCGGCTTGCCCCTGCCCGAGCCCGCTGGGCTGCCCCTGCGCTGGCCCGTGTGCAGTGCGATCGCGCGATGCTGCCGCAGCGTGAAGCGTGCACGCCAGGCGCAGCCCGCCCAGCCACCGCTCTGCAGTGCGACGTTGCGTGCTGCCGCCCCCCCCCGCTCGCAGTGCGACTATGCGACGCTGCGCCAAGTGCACGCGCCAGCCGCTCGCAGTGCGACGCTGCGAGTGCTGGCAGCGACTCGCTGCTCCCGCTTAGGCGCTGCCAGCCGCCTAGCGGCCTAGCCGCCAGCCCCGCGTCACGCGCAGCGTCCCGAGATTCCGTCAGTCCGAGACGGCGAGACTCCCGAGCAGTCCCGATTCCCGAAGGCAATGTCGCGTCCGCGAGTCGGGTTGGGTTGACCCGAACCCGAAGCGGGTCGGGTTCGGGTCCAGAAAATTTACCCGTTTGCAAAACCGGGTCGGGTCAACCCGAACCCGAATAATATCGGGTCAGTTTCGGGTTCGGGTCAACCCGACCCGTAACCCGAAATTGACAGGTCTAGTATTTTTATAATTTTTTGTTAAAAATATATCTCATGACATGTGATTATATTGAATAAAAATTATATTTTGAGAGTAATTTAATGATTAATATTAATTTGTGCCTCCATAAAAAAAATTTTTTGGCTCCGCCCCTGACTGCGAATACTCCAGAACGTAACATTTATAGATTTAAATTACATAAAAAAATAGCTAAAAGAATTGGATAAAAAAGTAGACATGATGATTTTGTCACGTATCTATATAATTACATATTTTATTTAAAATAAACTGACAAAATTTAAAAGTCTCATAATGTCGTTGAGAAATTCCCATGTAATTTTGAGATATTTTAATCAAATATTTTTGTGCCAAAAAAAATCATACATTCTAATTTATTTTAATATGCATATCTTATTAAATAATCGAATTAAAATATTTTGACATAAATTTTTTTACTTAAAAAAATTAAATATAGTACGTATAATTGTAATTTTGTCGCTAATGGGTGAACGCGTTGGCTGCTGAACCGGGTTTTAATTTTTTTTTGGAAAATCTGAACCGGAGTTGTCGCCTCTTCTTCCCCCATCGGCCATCGCTTTCTAATGAATTGCACTACAACACGTTTCCAAAAAACAAAAAGTAGCGCCCCCTGTTTCTTGACAGTCAGGACTCAGAACCACCGGAAATTCCTTGGAACGGGACTCCAAAACCATTAACCTAGCTTCCGGTTTCACTGATTCCCTCTTCACCATATAATAAACTGAATTGTTCTCATCAAACAGAAAAGAGCAAACCTTTCCCCTCTTTCAAGACACTTGAGAGCTAAAGCAACAGTATGGCATCGGCGAGCAAGGCGTCTCTGGCTGTGGCAACGAGCATGAGCGCAGTGGAGGCGCTCAAGGATCAGCTTGGCCTCTGCCGCTGGAACTACACGATAAGTAATATCAGCCGTCACGCCATTAATCCCATAGCGAGGCCCTCTAGCCAGCTCCGGCACGTTTCCTCCTCCGCCGCCGCCGCGGTCGCAGTGGTGCAAATCGATAGCAAAATTCCTGCTGCCGAGGAGATGAGGCGGAGGCGAAGAGCTGAGAAGGCAGAGAAAGTCAGGAATCTCGTCTGCTGGGGCCCTAATTAAGACGTACAAATTTTGATATGGAAAAAGCAGTCAGCTTTGTTGGCAATTTAGACATTTAGTTATCAAAGAAGAGTTGCATATATTGGCTTCTAATTAGCGTTGTATTTATTGAATGAAAATCTATTTTCATTTCATTTTTGGACCGCAGAATTGATAAATTTGGCTTAAAGAAATAAGGTATTGGTACTTAAGCTGGAAGGGGCTGTGTGAATCTAATCATCTATTTGTTTCTCCTTCTCACAGTGCTTGAAGCTTTGCACCTTTCCAACTGGTACATTTGGTCGGCTTGCTGATCGATTGATTAGCTCATCTATTAGCTATGAGTGATCGGAGTAAACAAATTTAGTCTTATATATCAGAGTTTGAACTGGATCTTGGTTGAATTGAATCAAAACACTATTTTTTTTTAATAAAAATTAAGATTTTGATTAAGTTCTTAAGTTCTTATTCGCATGCGTTCAATGCCGGCTGATCCTCTATTGAATCAATTCTAGCTGATTTCGAATAAAAAGCCATAATTATTTCAGGAGAATAGAGGTATATATGAGTTGTAGCAGCTTGAGCCTTATAACCTGGAACAATAATTATTACGTCCTCTGACCTGACATAGGGCTACGTTCGGCCGCCAATAACATGCCGCCACGTGCTTTTATTCTTTACCGCGTGGCCCGACGACTTGACCCGGAGCGGAACCCGGGAATGCTATGTTCGTGATTTTCTCGGTATCGCTCGGTATTTGCTCGGTATTTGCTAAGTATTGCTTTGCAAAAATGAGAAATACCGCTCTGTGAAGACCAATACCATGCAAATACCGAGTTGTACCGAGTTTTTTTACAACTCGGTACAACTCAGTATTTGCTCGGGTTTTGCTCGGTATTGCTAGGTATTTGCTTGGTATTGTTAGGTATTTGCTTGGTATTGCTAGAAAAAACTCGGTATTTGCTCGGTATTGCTAGGTATTTGCTCGGTATTGCTCGATATTGGTTATTTTTCTAGCAAAATCGATCAATACCTAGAAATATTGAGCAATCTTGGATCCGTTCCGCGTCGGGTTGTCGGGGCGCGCGGTAGATAATGAAAACGCGTGGCGCGATTCTACTGGCGGCCAAACGTAGAGTTGCGTACGTTCACCGGACCAAATAAAAGTTCTATAACTTGAGATGTAATGATTCATCTCTCGATGGGCTCAAGCTCAAGTTGAGCTTGTTTGTTGAGCTCGTGTGAAGCTCGTTTGAGAAGGCATCAATGTTTATTACAAGGAAAATGATAGAATATCAATTGAGGAGGCATTAATGGGATCAATGACGTTAAGATAAAAATAGCAGTTCATGAGACTTGTGAGCATTCAAGATTTAATCTAAAGTGAGTAAGGAGAATAATATTTAATATTTATGACTTAGTTAAGCTAACTCTTAAGCTAATTAGTCAAGTCTTGTCACGGTCAAACTTGAGCTCATATGGATATGAGTCGTAATCTAAACTCTAGCTCTCAGCTCGATAAAACCAATTCACAAATTCGTTAACAAGTCAATTTAGCGTAGGCTCGAATCACTTACACCCGTAATAGAGATTGATTATAAGGTGCATGTAGGACAATTTTATTTTTTATGAAACTTTTTTTTTTACGAACGTTATAATATTTTTTTATGAGTGCACAGGTCGCTGGCCTGTGCACTCAAAGTCTATGACAATGAAGAAAAAATTCAGGAAATTTTCTTTAAAATATATAATTCTATAAGTAGTTTTGATTGTATGATGATAGAATTCATACTGGCATAAATTTAAATAAGATTATTCTAAGAGAAATTTAAAAAAAAAAAACTTAATAAAATTTTATTAAAAATAAAACTTTCAATGTCAGTTCGGACTATTTTTAATTAAGTTATAAATAAAGTTAACATTCATTCGTAGAGAAATAAAATTTATTGTCAGTGATCTATTGTTGTTTGTCCGGGTGGTGAAAGAGTCGGCTGGGCAAAGCCTAGGTCCCTGATTCGAATTCTTTGGCAAACAGTGAAAGCCTTAAGTGTTGGCCCGTGTAAATCGGTGTGGGTTGCTTGTTAGGTCGATCGAGATTTTTACTGACCTAAGAACAGTACTTCCTCGCTACAAATATATATATATTGTCAGAGCAATAACAATTTTTTTATAAATTTTAAGCAAAATTTCTACTTATTTTTTAATTATAAAAAAGTAAAAAAGTAGTATTTTCATAATACAATTTTCTTATTAGTTTCTTAAAAGAAAAAGACGAGCCCACTGTAATCTGGGAAATCAGGATACCGGAAACCACTCGGAACTAGAACTC